CAGATGCATAACTCAACCGAGGCGAGCCCAACACCAGCTGCAACAAACACAAATCAGCGGTATTTTTTGATTTCCTGAATTTAAAGGCCAGATTAAGAACCACCGGCGATGGGCAGTGCACCCGTGCTATTGGAGGGGTGGCAGGTATACGAACGCACCATGGTGCAACGTAACAGTGCGACCCTCCCTGCAGGGCGTACCCGTCCACCACACGAGGGTTCCTCCCTCGTGCATGCTACCAGATCTGCTAGGTGGAAAACCATCCAAGCAGTCATAAGTGTGGTATGTGCATTAATAAATACTCCAGCTACCATTTCTTGGTCGGGGAAAGCGAGGCCAGTAAGGACATCTCAGTCAACTCGAACAAGCAAACAGCATACAGACGCTTTTAGAGGCAAGTCGCGGAGAAGTGAAATGACAGGTGTCAATTTGACAGTGCGCGTTGAATGGTGATATTCACGGCGAGTGTACGATGAGTAAATGTCTTCTAGCGTTGGTGTAAGCTACCATTTTGAGCAGAAGCTTACCGCAATGTTTTGTGCGTGGGTGATTAGTAGGGCGAATCATCAGATGGACAATTATATGGGCGCAGAATGCGCTCTGGTAATGCAGAAAAAGCTGGCTATAGTTTGGTTTTTATCAGTTAGAGTTAGGCCGAGACAGCCAGTTACTAGGTAGAGCCCATAGATTAATCCGGATTAGGGACTTGACTAGGATAATTTATAAGTCGGCTGGGGAGAACATAAACAACCAGGCCAGTAACACAGTATTTGTATATTTAGTGAGCGCTATAATCGTATAAGCATACAGCTCGTAGTTGCAATTTCAGATCCGCGTGGGCGAGAGTTTGCAGTCAAGATTCTGAAGAAAGTGGCTGTGCGAGTGTCATCACACTGAGTATAGCAGCGCCATGCCATCGTTGCACTGACATAATTTGGTATATGGACAGCCCTGTAACAGTCGTTCAGGATACCGCAATCGGAGAGTGGATGCGCATTTCCGTGGCAGCGGGCTCTGAGTTAGACGAGAAGACTGAGTTTGGTCAGTGCAGGGCCACTTATAATTTCCCTTTATTTGGCGGATCATGTGAGCGTAGACCGAGGATCAACCAAATTGAATGAATAGCGGTTGTATGGGGTGTTTGGGCAACTACAGCCGAAAGTTGAAGATTGGGAATAGGAGGAATGAGGGAGAAATAGGTTGAGAGCAATATCATCTGGTGGGTGCGAGGAGGCATCAGATAAAACTGTGTCAATAGAACAAAGTTTAAAAGAGGTTGACAGCAAGTTAAATAGACCAGGGGAGTGTGGATTTGTTTGCTGACCTAGAAATCAAGTGCTAGCTGTGCTGGAGTGTGTCTAATTTTGGGAAGGTAAGGCCTCACTTGATGAGGTAGGTGGCAGGGGGGCTGCCTGTTATATCATTTGGAACGGGTGATTACATGGCGGTAATTGTTAGCTCACAAAAGGAGTTCGAAAGTAGGGTATCCGTTGTGCAAAGATGGGATTACTACGGACAGGGACGGTAGACGAGTAATAAGTGGTCGGCCAATAGCCCCCAAGATAATCTATATGAACCGTAGTTTAACCGTAATCGACTACAACAACTTAAGAGGAAAGTAAGATTTAGGGTCTCCAGTCACCTAGCCACTGCATTCAGCACGAAGAAATGATCGTTGCATGGCGAAAAAGGCCACACGCTAGCTGCGGCTGCCGATATACAGGAAATAATAGGGGGGTTACATTTTCTATGTTTATGATCGCTTCAGAGAACAAGAGGGAAGAACGTGTGTGCCGTGTCTGGATGATGAAGTGGTTCGGAGATGGTGCAACCCAACTAAGACGAAGGTGGCAACTCATAGCACGTCGAAGTTTGCCGTAAATGTTACATTAAATTCGTGAATCTTCCGGACAGTGGTTATGTTTGCTTCCTTCACTCAAAGTCCTAGCATTTTAAGCTGGTCAAAGTAGGTGTGCATTCTTGAGAGGCCCGAAGAGTGAAAAGTTTTGATTCCATGTTTGAGTTTTCGGGTACGCCCCCAGTAACACAATGCCGAAAGTTAGCACAGAGGGTTTATTGTGTCCCGGGTATGTTTCAATTAACACCCAATCAACAGTGTCTTTAGATGGGGATAACCAGTGCCTGTGTGGCACCTGGTGAATGTCACAACGTGCTGGGTCCAGGCGCCATGTTGAAAAAATTAACCGGCTCCGTTGCAGTGTCCATTAGGCCTGATGTGCTGGAGCTCCGTCAATTGGATCTCAGGTAAATTCATATGCTGATCAAAGATGGTCAAAGAGATGGTGACTGGAATAGAGTTGCTCAGGTGTTTCCATGAGGAACAGGTAGACGGAAATGGTAGACTTGAGGGACTGATGGACTTTGACAGTATTTCTGTCCGCAGCCGGTTCAAGCCTAGAGCAACTGTTGGGTCCTATTCAAAAACGAGGTTCCTTGAGCTACACCTAGCAGTAGAGTTGTGGAACCTGGCATTCAAACATTCATGCGGGTTCTTTTGAACACAGCTTTGGGCCATGTATACTGGTGTCTTAGGCCTTGCTTCTGTACAAGTGCAGTCGGGCTTGGTGTATGCGAGGAAATAATAGCAGTTGCCCTTCATTCTGAGGCATTTAAAGTTGCGAACACGTATACTTGCGTATAGGCTAGATGAATGAGGGGCATTATTCTCGTCGGTTAATTCCTGGTAGGCTGTGCCGCATTTTTAGCGACGTGCAGGAGCTCAGGAAATAGACCCACATGAAAGTATCCCCAACAGCTTCTGGACTGAGGCTTAAACGCAACTGGATTCGCCGTAAAGATGCTCTTTGTGAGGTTAGTTAGGGTGTAACTCAGACAGGAATCGGTGGTAGGTGGCTAAGGTGTAGATGAGTAGGCTGTACTTGGACCCTTAAAAGAGAGTTGCTGTACACGCCACGAAGCCCAAGAAGGGGGAAGGTCTAAACACAGCGGTATATTGGGCACCAGAAGACGGATCATCTTTTGCGGCACCACCCTGAGCGGTTCACATACGTTATGACTTTTGGTACGCTATTGTTTTCCCCGATGCGATACAGTA